TTGTATATTACAGAGAAGAATCGAAAGTTTTCAATAGAGATATGAAGATATTGTTTAGAGAGATATTTATTGTGACATTTTAAAAACCTATTTTTCTATTTTCAAAATATTATTCCTAAGCTATATTTTTGGTTGGCGCTTCTGCAAATGGCTTTGCAGTTGTGAAATGCTAACAACTAGACCGTAGGCCAGGTCCCGTGAGGACATCCTCCCGCTGTGCCGAAGGTGCTGTGATTCGGACACCAGTCCTGTTACTCATCCTTGGCTGCCTTGTCCAAGACCTTTATGCGAGATGGGCTCTCGGTATTTGAAAATGACACAGAATTCTTTTCTAAAAACAAAATGTGAATTTTGAAGACCATAAAAATCATGCCTATATAAATTTAGCAGCCACCAGATAACATCTTGATTTCTGTATGAGTCAACATAACAAACATCTTAATACACAGAAACATAGGAAGAAGAGAGATGGCAGTGTCCTTCGTCGTCAGTGAAGTCTGCGTCCGTTTTATTCTGTTTTGTGCCCCATCAGCACACTTTGCAACAACCACATTTCATTACAGTCCCCAAAAATATGTTAGAGTTTGCCTACGTGTCTGCCCTACTTCCAAATTCTTCTTCCTTCAAGCCTGTAAATCTGCTTCTTCAATATTAAGTCTACTTTTGGTTTTGTTTTGAGTTTAGAAAATCGAATTTGAAAAAGTAGATCTTAATACATTGACTTCTAAATATTAGACTCAAATTTCAAGTCCTCTAGTCTTGGAGAATTTGTACAACTGTAACATTTCCTAACCCAGTGCTAGAGAAAAAAATGAATGGTATTTTAAAGTGACATATTTCTGATAAGAGTCTTAAATACCTTGTTTGGGGGAATTACAGAAGAAGCAGGTCAGGAGCCCACTTCCTGTGACTTGTGCTGGTGACGGAGACCAGAGAGGATGAAGGGCAGCCAAGGACAGAGAAGGCCCGGAGCCATCCGCTCACCCTGTGCGGTGGCGTTGAAGGCTCTGTATACAAGCACCGAACATGATTAGTTTTTATAATCTGACAAAGTCTTGACCAAGATTCTTTAAGTATCTACTGGCCTCCAGTCAAAACATATTCAGGTAGCAATGAGATTCAATACCTGGAAAACATCCAGACATAATTTTAGACTTTAAGAATTCCACGCTAACGACCACTTTGCAAGCTCAGGCTGACAGTATTGTTCAACGCTTCACTGAAGAACTACTCTGAAGAGTTAGGCTTCCAGGACACATAATAACGCTCCCAAGAGACTGGGCTCACGTGATGGGGTTGATTTTATTTTGGCAGGTCTTTAACTGGGGCAGTTCAGAAACTGTACTTGGTCAGTTCTCCTAGATGATACGCCGTGTGACTATAATCAGGTACTGTAGCTGGAACTGCGTCATGTCACTCGTTATATGTTGGCTTAGGTACTGTGCATAATTGTAAGAGTTGAGATGTTGAAGAACATGAAATCCAAAAACATAAAGGATGAAATATGCCTGTATGAACCCTGTTTTAAGACTGCTCTGGAAATAAGGCCTTATTATTCTTATGACTTTTCATAAGATAATATGCAGGGTGGGGCAAAAGTAGGTTTACAGTTCATATGGAAAATACAATAATTAACAAATAATAGGTATTCTAATTCCTCCCACTCTCCCATTCAATAAAAGGTTTTAAATTGTAAAAAATAATAATAATAATACAAGAAGAAACTGTGTTTAGAGTACTTACAATTGTAAGCCTACTTTTGCCCTACCCTGTCTACACTGTACAGTGGGGCCTTGACTTACGAGTTTAATTCGTTTTGAGACGAGCTCATTAAGGAGCTCATTAACTCAAATTACTCTATCAACTCAATGCAAAAAATGGTCCGAGAGACAGCTGGTATCTCAAAAAACTCGTGAGTCGGGACACTCGTAAGTCAAGGCCCCTCTGTATTTTAAACGGCTGTGTAGGTGGTTTCTAGCTCCTCCTCCGCACAGCTGGCAGGTTTCATAATTTACGCAGGCTGCGTGCTCTGCATCTACAAATGTGTATGTCCATCTCTTCATGATAGTCTTTGACCAAATCCCATCACAGGAAGACATTTTGGGTGCATTCAGTTTGATTTTTTTAAAAAAATACATCTTATGTTGGGGATTTACCTTCGTTTTGTGCATTTGTTTGTTCTTGTGCAAGCTGATACAGTGTAAGTAGTCATGTCAATGTTTATGCAAAAATGTTAATTGAAGTGATTCCATTAGTATTGTGTTCTAATACTTGGAGAATGACCTTCATTTTTATACATTTCTTTGTTTTAACTGCACAACTATAAATCCAGGAAATGTACCCCCCCTTTTTTTTTTACAAAAACTAATTTTTTATTGTAAAGTATTTGTAATACTGTAAAGGTGAATCCTATACAAGTTCAATAAAAATCATATCTTAAAGTTTAAATTTTCAGTTAAAGATTCTGTCACTTGCCAAGGTCAAAAAACAGTCGTGAAAGGACCAGTGTATAACTTTTCCCTGGGGGTTTCCCCTCAAAAGACACTTGGAATCCCGAGGCAGCTCCTGCAGCCCCAGCCATGAGCCTGCAACAAGAGACCTGCCTCTGAATCCAAACGCCCTTCAGAACCTATTGTCTTTCTTTTTCTTTTTAAAGTTTGTATTGATTTTAGAGACAAAGGAAGGGAGAGGGAGAGAGAGAGAAACATTGATGAGCTCCCAGGCCCAGCTTTCTTATTATGACTCAGCACTTAGTGCCTTTCTCTCTCTTCCTCCCCCATTCTCTCCCCTTTCCCCTTAATTTACCTCTTCCTCTCTGTGCATCATACACCTGGTAGCAGCACATACTAGTATATGGAAATGAAATCTTTCCATGTGATAGGAAATCTCTGGTGGAGTCAGTTCATCCGACATTACACAAGATGCAGAAGAGAAAAGGCCTTAATTTAGACATTCCCTGAGTTGGGATCTCTATTCCAGATGACCCAGGCTCTAAGGAAATGCCAGACCTTCCTGTTGGAGTTAGCTCAGACCCCATTCCTATGCAGTTACAACTCCGGCAGGTCGAGCTGTCTCCTGAACCATTTCTCGAAGAAAGTGACTTCACTACTAGACCTTCAAATCATTTCAGCAGCGCTTTCCTGTGTGGCGAAAGCTTCAAGCCTCCTTAGGAACTTGGCAGACTAAGTTTTGGGGTGTTTTTTTGTTTTGTTTTTGTTTTGTTGTTGTTTTGCATCTTGTATCAGGAGTCCTCAAAGCAAAAGAATGCATTTACTTTAAGTGGGAAAGTGTGCCACCTTCTGGTATTGAGCTTCAGTGACTCAGTTTAAGCATACCTCTCCCATGTGATCCTGTGCCTGCCCTTCTTTCCCCATATTCCATGTTATGATCAAAGGAAGTGGTTTTTTTTAATACATTTCCATCAACCTCAGAGAGAGAGAGAGAGAGGAAGGGAGAGAGAGACAGAAGCATCAATGATGAGAATCACTGATCTGATGCCTCCCCCACACCCCCGCTGAGGATCAAGCCTGCAACCCTGACCAGGAATCAAACTGTGACCTCCTGGTTTATGGGTTGATGCTCAACCACTGAGCCAGCACCAGCTGGGCCAAAGGAAAATCTTTCCAGCACTAATTTTAAGTAATTTTTAAAATATATATTTTATTGATTTTTTACAGAGAGGAAGGGAGAGGGATGGTTAGAAACATCGATGGGAGAGAAACATCGATCAGCTGCCTCCTGAACACCCCCTACTGGGGATGTGCCTGCAACCAAGGTACATGCCCTTGACCAGAATCGAACCTGGGACCCTCCAGTCTGCAGTCCGACGCTCTATCCACTGAGCCAAACCGGTCAGGGCTAGTTTTAAGTAATTTGAAATACTTTGAAGTCATTTTTCATACTTTGCTTAAATAGGGTAAAAGTGTCTCCCTTTAGTATGGGATTGATGAAAGATTCTGTCAATTCACTTTCATGAGGATTCCTACTGGAAAGGTCTGGGTGATCAGTATAAATGAAGAGACGGAGGGACAAGGCTGGACAGAGACACAGCAGTGGAAAGTCTGTCTATTCTGGGAAAGCAATGAAGCCGAGTCCAGGCTGAGGTGCGGGAGTCGGGAGCAATGCAGTGTTTCTGGGAAAGACGATGAACTGATCAGAGCCAGGCTCCCAGCGGACAGATGGGATGGAGAGGGGAGAGATGAATGTAGCCATGCAGGCAAAGAGTATGTACTATAAGGCAGGGCACTGAGCTCATTTTCAAGGTAAGTGTATAACTGGCGTGCCACTAGCTTTGAAGACGACTTGCCAAGTGAAATTCCCATTGTATACACTTACGGCTTCGCCATTCTACCAGCTTGGTGGATCTCAGCAATATGTGTCCCCTATTTGGGGATGTCCCCAAAGGCATGCACGTATCCGAGATAAACCATGTTAGCCGTAGCATTGAAACCACTCTTTCCCCCCATTACATGAAGCAGTGCTTCTCTCTCCTCCATGACTATCTCCACTCCAGTTCCAGCCAGCAAGCTGCCGAAGAGGGCGTTCGAAACCCACAGACAGTGTTCACGTCACAAAGCTCCCCTTTCCTCCTGTCACCTGCACTCCTGTGTTGTATGATGTTTTAGGCCAGCGGTTCTCAACCTGTGGGTCGCCAACCTGTGGGTCGAGACCCCTTTGGGGGTCGAACAACCCTTTCACAGGGGTTGCCTAAGACCATCGGAAAACACATATATAATTACATATTGTTTTTGTGATGAATCACTATGCTTTAAGTTCAACTAATAACAATGAAAATACATCCTGCGTATCAGATATTTACATGACGATTCATAACAGTAACAAAATTACAGTTATGAAGTAGCAACGAAAATAATTTTATGGTTGGGGGTCACCACAACATGAGGAACTGTATTAAAGGGTCGCGGCGTTAGGAAGGTTGAGAACCACTGTTTTAGGCTAAGTATGAGAGATCAGAATTTAGCCCCAAGGAAGTAGCGAATCCTAGAGAGACTTTAAAGCTACCCTTACCCCCTGGGAAAAAGTTGTAAACGCTCAATTTTCTTTAACATTCTTTAATGCCAACAGCAACAAAAACCAAGCATATCAGGAACTCTCTACAAACACTCCCAAACAAAACAAGCGTATTAAAAAACAACAACAACAACAACGTGTCAAGTAATCTCAAAACTAAGTTACTTGAATAATGGCTACAGGAGAGCGTCCTCGGCGAGCTCTCCCTTGGCTGAGACCCCGACTCTCAGGACGGGCGGCTCACGGACTCGCGTCGCGCAGGTCGACCTTCACGGCGGACCCGTCCCTGCTCAGCCTCACCGTGTCGGCGATGAGCGCTCGCATCGTGTCCACGCTGTCACACAGGCGGTTCACCTTGGGATAAGCGAGCAGCCTTTCCAGCGGGACGTACAGCTTATTCCCAAAGCGGAACGGTTCGGGAGACTTCTCGATTTTGCGTTTCTCAAGTTCTGTGAAGACTGGTCCAGAGAAGGTGACGAGCCCGGTGTCGCTGACCTGGTGGCCGTTCCCATCGCCGCGCTGTAGGATCCTCAGGCTGGAGACGTATCTATGCCTCATGCTTTGGACTTGCCGAGACACCTCATTTGCTAATGCGAGTTTGCGGACTTCCTTTTGCTGTAAACTCGGATATGAAACGGAATAAACCTGAAGCCGGGAGGAAAAAACCACTTAGGATATAGGAAAATGTTCCAGACCATGAGTAGTAACTTCCTACCACATGAGGAACTAACTCTATGGCCCTAGCCGGTTTGGCTCAGTGGATAGAACATCAGCCTGTGGACCGAAGGGTCCCGGGTTCGATTCCACTCAAGGACACATACCCCGGTTGTAGGCTCCTCCCTGGCCCGAGCCCTGGTCGGGGCTTGTGCAGGAGGCAACCAATCGATGTGTTTCTCTCGCATCGATGTTTCTCTCTGTCTTTCCCTCTCCCTAAAAAATCAATGGGAAAATATCCTTGGGCGAGAATGAAAAAAAAAAAAAAGAATAACTGTATAGTATGTGCAAATGTCAAACCCTACTAACTGTACATACTGACACATGGGGTCAAAAGGAAAAGTGTTGCTAATTAAAGAGGGAGATGTGTTTGTTCTTCCCCATACCTCCGAAACCAAAGGGTCTGAGGCACTTGGAGGCTCAGTTCCAAATCAGTTTCTGAGCCCCGCAGTGAAATGCCTGCTGGCTGTCCTCTTCCTGCCAAGAACCCTGACGCATTCCACAGGGAGGCCGCTGGCCCAACAGCTCAAAAGACCACTCATCTCAAAGCTCTGACCGCGGTGGGGATGTAGGCTTCTCCCAGGGTCACCCTCAGAATCAGGCCACCACTCCTCTCTGCTGCGGGCACTCTTGATAGGGAACTGTTCACCATCGAGGTACATGTGGTTCTTGTCCCGACAGCTGCCCCACAAAGAACACTCACAATCTACACGGCCGGTGTGGCTCAATGATTGAGCATTGACCTATGAACCAGGAGGTCATGGTTCAATTCCCGGTCAGGGCACATGCCTGGGTTGCAGGCTTGGTCCCCAGTGGGGAATGTGCAGGAGACAGCCAATCAGTGATTCTCTCTCATCATTGATGTTTCTATCTCTCTCCCTTCCCTTCCTCTCTGAAATCAATAACAAATAAATTTAAAAAAGAACACTCACAATCTTATAAACGTGCTGACCACACTGCTCTGCCACGCACGATTCCGTGGCCGGCGCTCCGACTTTCCGGAAGACCCCTATCTGGGTACAGTAGCCAACATGCCCAGCTCCTTCCGGTGGCTCCCCCACGCCAGTAAACTCCACGGAGTAATTGTAGAAGCCTGCCACCCCTAAGGCCCTGGAATCAAAACAAGGAGAGAGATCGTTTTTTTCTAAACTCGGAACTACTGTTACATAGACAGCAATTCCCGGTAGAACAGAACGCGAACAATGCAAGGAACCAAAAGACCACTGAGCTGCAGGTTCTTACACATCACACTATGCCACAGTGTGGGGTCTGCTTACGTCTCTGGGGGCCATTCAGGCAGTGACCGCGAGGGTAATGAACCACAGGAACACGGAGACAAGGAATGTTGTGGGACAGAGCAGAGGAATGGACCAGGACACCACAAAGGCTATAATCCCAACTCCTATTTGGGTGTGGAATTGTGCCAAGAACCCGTGGAGCCCCTGGGAGATGCCCCTGGGCCAGGGCATCACTCTCAGTGCCACACCTTCCCTCGATTCCGTTTCCTGACGCCTCACACCTGGAGGGCACACACCTTTCCCACACCCGCCTGAGACGTGAGAGAGAGAACGAACTTCCCACTGGCTGGGCTCATGTGCTCTGCGGAAGCAAACCACGTCAGTCAGGTGTCCGTCAAGGTTTGCTCCCCAGGATTTTTAACGCCCGTGGGGGTCCCAAGAAACCAAGACACCTTTGCACTCACCAGGTCTGAAACTGCTTCCTGTTCCACTCAAATTTGTGATCTGAATCTCTCAAGGTCACTGCCGGGAACAGGGGGTTGAAGTCCGAGTTGGGCGTGCTGATGACAACCATGGCTGGAGACAGGTACCCAAACACGACTTCGGGAAACCTGGCCAGGTCCTCAGAATCCAAATGTTCTATTCTGAAAGGGTCAGCGGGGACAGATCGAGTCAGATCGAGCTTCACTTGCACGATTTCCCTAACTGACTTCGCAAAACAAGGTCTGTCTCTACGTTGATGTGTCCCCCCTTGGAAGATGTAACAGTGACCCTGAAACGGCCTCGTCCTTCCCTTCGCCCACCCCGGATGAGACAGGGTGGTAACAGGCCAGTCCCAACCGACAAGCAATTTTCTTTACAAATAAAAATCCAGATTACATTTAGGGAACAAAGTTTACGAAGACTAACCCAGTGACATTTTTCTAATGATACAGAAGGAATGCGTTTAATACTTACAACTCGATACACGTGACTAAGTCAAATCCAAGCAAACGAGAATCTCTCTCCACAGCAGAGCCGTGGTACAAGATGATCGACAGATTCAGGTCCCGGGGGCTTAGGTACTCCCCCGAGAATGGAGACAGTCTACACCTGCAAAAGCGTGATTGTAGAAGTCAGCGCATTTGAGCACAACTGTTTAGAGTTATCCCAACTACAGACATGAGAGTAACTTCCTTTCGTGGAGGGAGTAACTGACCAATCAGAACAAGGTACTGAATATTTGACATTGCTCCCATTTTTAATATTTTTGGTCTCCCGGCTCACTGGATCAGTGATTTTCAGCTTCTTGACCTTTATAAGAAACACCCTTTTGAAACAATCCGTGGAAATCCAATATATACAGGATATTGGAGAGCTGCTCGGCTTCAAACTAGAGATGGCCGCCTGGGGCTCTGCCGTTACCATGGCGTCCAGCATCAACCTAATTAGATTCTTGCCCTTTGAAAACTGAGTCTGCAATGCGCTGACGATTATAATTACTTAATTGAGACTCTTCTTTCTACATTGGTAGGAAACAGGTATTCACAGCGTACACAGCTCATTAGCGTGAGGGCATAGTCATTATTCAGAGAGCCTGAGGCTCTCTCGGTGTATAATGTACAACGCATTTTAACATGTAACACAGTGTAAATTTTGCATAAAATCGGCCCTTCCTCTAAGCATATGTAATAGTGCCACTGGTTTTAGATCAATGCACAACTCCTCCAGAAACTAGGCATTACCTTTGCGATCCTATTTTATCTTTATTGATATCTACTCCAACAATCAGTTCCAGGCAACTGTGCGATTTAATCATCTGTATGAGGGAAGCATTGCCACACCCCAAGTCTGCCACCTGCAGATGAGACCAATGTTATTTCAAAGACGTTTATAGCCAGAGAAGTCAAGGATGACCAAAGACCTTCTTTACAGGGAGTGGGCATCGGAAGTGAAACCATAATAAAACATCGTGTGGAAGGATCTCTTTGGCAGAAAAGAAGTACATGAGAGGAAATTAATCTCGAGACATGATAAGCCTGGGGGGTGCGGGAAATAAGTCCTGTTTAACCTCACATGTTAACCAAGCGCTCGTTCATTCCACTTCGCTCCTCCAGCTCCTCCAAGCTTAGTTTTCCCTCTCTAACCCTTCCCCTCCTTGTGAGAGTATTTCCGAACAGTCTCTGGTTACTTACTAACCAAGGCTCCTGCATTTAACAAAACGTCTTATAAGAGAGTTTTAATGAAATGTTTGGAAACCAAGACCTACCTTCTTGGGTTTGTGCTGATTCACTAGGTCGTTAACGAAGCTGTAACGCTGTCTGTATAGCGGAGGGGAAAAATTAATCACCTTCTTGACGGGAAGATCAACATGACCACCCACCACACCGTGGCCCTGAAAGTTTACAAACAAAAAGTGTTTTAAGTCACACATGACTTCGGGGATTCGGTAAGAAAAAAACAGCTTTATTTCCCCCAATTAATTGGCAGAACCGAATGGCCCGTCAACCATCTCTGTTTTCACTACAGCCATTAGGTGGCCTTGCATTTCCTCCACAGTCCATCTAAGTCTCCTCCCTTATTAAGAACCTGGCTTTATATTTTCTATTGCTCAGAGTCAGCTGAATGGAAAATTGCTTATGAATGCATTTGATAAAACAGTTATAAGCCTCCTGGCCACAAGGGATCTTTCGTGAACTTCCAACGCCTGGAGTCCAGGCAGGCAGGAGGCTGGAAACTGTTCATGATTGACAGTCTCTCGCTGACCAACCTGAAGTCAGGCTCCTCTTTGACTAGACCCGGACCTAGACCCTGTCGAGCCCAGTGTTAGCAAGATTCCTAAGCATCCTCTACCCTTATGATGTGATCAAACTCAGCCTCTGATTAAGTTCTTCATTTTCCATCCTGGATCTCTGATCACCACGGCCTGCCCTCAGCCAGAATCTTAAATCTGTAAATCATTTAGCAAGAATCCCAAACCCTTGATGTCTCCTCTCTTTTCCATCCACTGACCCCTGCCTCTCACTCTGCTCAGAGGCTGTAAGTCCATTAGTCTTTGTTGTATATGGAGTTGAGCCCAGTCTCTCCCCGCACTGCAATGCGCTTGCTGCAATAGTCCTAATAATGGTGCCAGAACGGGTCTTTAACAGGACCCGTTAGGAAAAAGGAATTATGATTAAGCCTTAACAGCTATGCCTGCTCCTAAATACTACCAGCGTTATAAAGAAATGCAGTCCAAAAGGCACTTCTGTCCAAGAGAAATAAAATACAAGCCAAACATGCAACTTTCTTATAGCCTATTTTTTAAAAACGTTTTTAAAGCGGAATCGTAATATTTTATTAACGCAATATACCTAAAGTTGCCAGAATAACTCTTGAGAGTCATAAAAGCAGGTTAGGGAAGGCAGCAGTTACCTCTTTGTTGTTGCTCTGTTCCATTTTGTGTCTCTAAGTTTCCTTGAAACAAAAATGTAGATGTATCCTTCCAGGAATCAGCAACAACTGGGCTGTAAATTAAAAATTATCAGTTATAGGGGACGGGAAGTGATAAAAAAAATAAATAAATCAGTTATAAAAAGAAGTGGGGTGAAATAGCTCCCTAGATCAGTAGGAAAGGGAGAAAGTGGTCTTTCTCCGTTCTCTTTCCGTGTTACCATTTAATCCACACAATTTATTCAGTACGTTTTATTTCAGACAACAGCCAGCAGCTCAGAAACCTAAGTAATATGCCAAACGCAGCTAAATGCAGCCCAGGGTACCACTAAGGTGCCATTCTTTCCTTTGACTGTTCTTTTACTTGGATACAAACTAAACAATCCGAGCAGTCTGACATTTCATTAAAGCCCTCAGTCTCATTCAAATCGCTTGCAAGAACCCTTTCACACACAGTCCAAATGAAACTTCCAGGGGGAGAAAAGTGTCCCACGTAATAAGCTATGGATGCTCCAACATCTATCCAATAATTCACCATGAACTTGAAGTTAAATTCTGGTTCTGATTGCACGCCTGTCTCTCTCAGCTACAGCGTGGGCTAAATTGTAGGCAGGTGGCCGATGGGCTGACTCACAGGTGGAGGTGGTGTGCTATGGGGGTGGGAGGGGGGGAGGGCAGTTTTCTGCTAACACCACGAGGATGTCTGGCCCAATGAGCGGGATTTGACAGTCATCCTTGCTACAGGTGTGATTTCCATGGAGGAGAGTTTTAAGGAAATGAAAACATTTGAAAAATGGTCTGGGTTTTTTTTTTTTTCTTTCTGCTTTTTCCCCTATTTCTTGCTGTACTTGAGCCTCTCAGGCGGTCCTTGGCCTTTTGTGTTTTCAGGCTAACTTGGTGAATCCTGCTGATGGATCCTAAAAAGGTGGGTTGCATCTGGCTCACACTGGTCCAGTTTGTCACGGGTCTCAAAACCCTGATTACACATCCATTAAGAACCACCCAGATATTGAAATCACCATGACCAAGGTCCAGGCACTGATCTTGGGGAGTATTTCATTCTGTTGCCCAGGGCGGACGGAGGCTTGACCATAGCACTTTCTAAAATCTCAACCAGTCCAGGTGGAGAACACCTGATACAGTGGACAATCTTCCTTGTTATAAACTTTCATACGAAGGGACATGTCTGTTCTCTTGGTACCAAGGACCTAGAATCTAGGACCTTAGCTGATATCGGGGCAGGTTAGGTGAAATGGAGAGGTACTTGTTTGGGGTTCACCAGTGTCACTTTTTAGTATCCTGGCGGGAAAAAATAAAATAAAATGTAGGCAACATGTCAATGGCCTAACTTTCCGGGTTATTCTCTAACTCGAAGCCCGAAACCCTCCAGCTGCCCAGCCTCACAGTCCGGGGCAGGAGCCGGCGCCGTCTTACCTGCGACTCAGACGCGCAACCAGCCGGCAGAGCTCGGAGCTGCCGACCGGCCGAGAGCGCGGCGCCGCCCCTTCCCCCCGGCCCCGCCCCGCCCCGCCCGCCGCGCACGCGCAGTCTCGCCGCGTGACGTTCCCGCGCGGCCGCGCCGGCAGCGGCGGCTCTTGGGCGGTGCGCGCCCTCGTCCCCCGCGCGGCGCCCGCCCCCCGCCGCCCCCTCCGCGCTCCGAGGCGTCGGTTTTGTGTCCTAACGGCCGCACTGGCGCAGGGCCCGCAGCCATTTCCAGCCGCGACTGTTGGACGGGGCGGCGCGTCCGCGGGCCGCGAGCTGTGTGTTGGGTGCGCGGCGCTCCCCGCGCGCGGCCAAAGCTGCAAACGGCCCCGGAGCCCGAGGGGTCCGAGGCAGCCGCCACTCGGGTCCCCGGCACAGCCCACGGGGGCCTTCGGGGTACCCGGGCTGGATGAAGTTGCTGCAACACCGCTGAACTCAGAAAAGCGGGCAGCCCCCAAACTGCAGCGGGCACCTTCTGCGTGTTGGGGCGCAACTATCTGGTCTCCTCTCCCCCTGCAGAGATGCCGCTTGACACTTTACCCATCAGTTACTGCCGTCCTGTCTGTCGGTGATGGAAGAGTGTAAGGAGGGCAAGAGGAGAAGCCACGATGCCGCCTTTGGGGGTGGGGCATGTTTTTAGTCCTATTTTATTTTTTTAATCTGTTTATTGATAAGGGAGAGGGAGAGAGAGAAACATCAATGGTGACAGAGATGCCTCCTGCACGCCCCCCACTGGGGATGGAGCCTGCAACCCCGGCATGTGCCCTGACCAGGAATCAAAGGGTGACCTCCTGGTTCATAGGTGGATGCCCAACCACTGAGCCCCCCTGGGCCGGGCTGATTAGTCCTGTTTTAAAAGAAAAAGCGCCCTTGGCGGGGCTGCTCAGTTGGGTAGAGAACGTCGTATAGATACACCAAGGTTTCAGGTTCAATGCCGATCCCTGGTCAGGGCACATACAAGAAGCAACCAATGAATAAGTGGAACAGCAAATCGATGTTTTCCTTTCTACCTCCCTTCTCTTTCTCTCTCTCTCAATAAAAGGAATGACATTGACATCCTACAATATGGATGAACCTTGAAGACATTATGCTGAATGAAATAAGCCAGACACAAAAAGGCAAATATTGTGTGGGAGTGAGGTGGTAGGGAAAATAATTTTCAGTAGCTCACTTTTGTGGACATGAGATGCTAGTCCTGTTCATTGTCTTGGAGGTTTTGTTACCTACCTGAAAACTGGACTGGAGCCTGGCGGGGGGAGCTGGAAGAGGGTATAGGGGAGATAGCTGGTGAGGGAGGGAGACTTGACTTGGGTGATGAACACACTATACCAGGGGTCCTCAAACTTTTTAAATGGGGGGCCAGTTCACTGTCCCTCAGACCGTTGAAGGGCCGGACTATAGTTTAAAAAAAAACTATGAAAAAAAAAAAAAACTATGAACAAATTCCTATGCACACTGCACATATCTTATTTTGAAGTAAAAAAACGGGAACAAATACAATATTTGTATTTGCATGTGGCCCGCGGGCCGTAGTTTGAGGACCCCTGCCCTATACAGTGACCAGATGATGTGCTGTGGAATTGTGCACCTGAAACCTGTATAATTTCATCACCCCAAAAATCAATAATAAGGACAAAATTGGACTGGATCCTGAAGTCTAGTTCTCTCCAATATCTAACATTTTTTTAAAATGTATTTTTATTGATTTCGGAGAGGAAGGGGGAGGGGGAGAGAGATGGAAACATCAATGATGAGAGAGTCATTAACCCTTTGCAGTCGTATTAAATTTGGACATGGGTGTCATACTGGTCGGAATTAATTTCCATCGAAAGAGCAGTGATACATAACATGCAAGATTATGAAGGATAAACAAGATTTATTAATTCTTTTCTGGAACTACGTCACTACTAGTAGAATCACTACAAACGTTATCACTTTCTACGTCAGAGTCAGTATTCAAGGTGCCCAAATAAAACTCTTCATCGTTACTTTCAGATTCGCAGTACACTTCTTTCGGTAACTTTCTTTTTGCCATTTTGGAGTATTATTTTGAAATATCTTAACAAGCGAGAATGCCTAATTAGAGTTAAACGTAATTTGTAAAGCTTTATTTGAAATTCTGTAAAGTATCTCCGAAGCTTATCGATTTCTTCGCTCTCAACAGGTGACTGACTCGCCACGGTGTTTTGCATGGCGAGTGTGGAACGACCGCGTTTGTTTATATTGAGTTTCGATATCTCCGATTTGTCAGAGCAGTGTTTTGGTTCGTGACAAGGTCGCTTAGACACTTACGAGCTTTCAGAGAAATTATGAACTGATACATGAATGAATAGAGTTAAGATTCGTACGGTTCCTTGCTGTGGTGGCTGAGAGCAGACATACGACCGGAACGGTAAAAAAGCTTTGGTGGCTGAGAGTAGACAAAGGATCGCAAAGGGTTAATTGACTACCCTCCTGCACACCCCACACTGGGGCCTGAGCCCTCAATCTGGGCATGTGCCCTGACCTGGAATCCAACCAGTGACCTCCTGGTGCATGGGATGGCGCTCAACCAACTGAACTATACTGGCTGGGCCACAGTTGAAAATTGTTAAAGAAAAAGTTTTCAAGTTAACAGGTGATCTCCACAGGATTCCTGAATCTAGAGAGTTTTTGCCTTACCTGCTAGTTGGCTTGTCTATGAACTTGAATTCTCATATCCAGTTTTCTCTCCAAATGTGCCTATTTCATCATTCTCCCTGTCTCTCATCATTGATGTTTCTATCTCTCCCTCTCCCTTTCTCGCTGAAATCAATAAAAATGCATTTAAGAGGCTGAAAGTCATCCTTGGCTCTATCCTTGACCACACTTGGACATTAACACCTTGACCTCTTCAAGCTGTCAGTTGCATCTGTTCCTTCCTATAGCCAATGCCTTAGCTTACCCTTTGTCATCTCATTTCTTCATTATACCTATTCTTACCTCCCTCCACCAGATTCTAAGTCCCACCGAGATACAGACCATGTTATACATTCTCAGAATGAGTTTCAAGTCAAACTGACCTTACATCCTGATTTGACTATTCCTCTCTAAACTTTGGAAATTTACCCTAAGTGTTGATTCATTCCGTTGAAAATGAGAAATAAGGTAACGCACTCTCAGGAAGTATGTATCATGTACCTCTTGTGGATCGAGTACTGGTTTGAGTGAAAAAAGACAGATAAAGGCCCTTCTATGATTCTAGTCCAGCAAGCGTGTCAGCCAGGCAATAAGTGAACAAAGGTTATCCTATGTACTATCTTGAGCCTGATGCTCAAAGTAGGATGAAATATTCAGAGAGCTTGGGAGAAAGCAATTGTATTTTGCATATAAAAGGAATCACTATAACCCTGCCCACGTAGCTCAGTTGGTTAGAGCATCGTACTAATAATGTTCAACCCAAGGTTGCAAATTTGATCCCTGGTCAGGGCACATACAAGAATCAACCAAGGAGTTCATAAATAGGTGAAACAACAGTCCGAGCCGTTTTGGCTCAGGGGATAGAGCATCGGCCCTCACACTGAAGGGTCCCGGGGTTTGATTCTGGTCAAGGACAGAATCAATCCTGGCCCTGGTTGGGGGGCATGCAGGAGGCAGCCAATCACTGTGTCTCTCTCACTTCAATGTTTCTCTCTCTCTGTCTCTCCCTGTCCCATTCTCTCTCAAAATCAATGGAGAAATATCCTCGGGTGAGGATTAACAACAACAACAAAAAGTGGAACAACAAACTGACATTTCTCTCTCAGCTCTATATCTCAATCTGTATTTCTATCTCCCTTCTTCTCTAAAATCAATAAGAATTAAAAATAATAAGAGGAATGAATGTAAACAGTTTGTGGCCAGAGGAAAATTGTGCCTGATTAAGATACACAAATTCTTTGACACTCCTTTTGAGACACGGGGTCTGTGTTTCTTCATCTTTTGAATCTGGGTGGGTTCTGTGATTTCACCAATGAAGTGCCAGTTTCAGGCCCAAGTGTTAAGAGACTGGCCGTTTCTACTTCCTGTCTCTCGGAACACCTACTCCTGGAATCTGGAGGCTAGGCTGCCAGCCCCACGCATAGGCCCACGTGGAGAGAAGCCAAGTGCACCCCACCCCACCCCAGGCTGCCAG